GCAATAGTTAGGAAGTCTACCTTATTTTTTTTTTTTTTAATTGTTATTGCTTTAGTCATTTCTAGTATACACTGAAGGCATAAATAATCTATTAGTTAGATATTCAAAACAAGAGTGCCCTTACTTATCTATTTTACTGTAAGGCTGAGTTGAAAACATTTGGGAAAGTTGTATTAGCATTGCTCACATGTTAACAAACTTTAAATGCTCCTTAGTTCTGTGTTTTATTTGGGATGCTCCTATAATAGAGTTTGTTATCTTATTGCCCTTGTAGCCTGTTCTTGATGCAAGCAAACTGGTGCTGAGCTAATAAACCAGACTAGAGAGTTGAGGTTCCTGTTCCCTTGAAAACCAGGTAGCTTAATATAGCCATACCTTACATTTATTTTTGTGAAGTCTGTAGAAAGCGTGAATGAATCAGCAAGATACTCTTATGAAAGGCCTGCAAAATGCTTCCTGTTGACTGGATATAAATGTAATCTTTTAGAAGCAGAGCACCTGGGAACATGGCCCTGCGAGAGAGACAAACTAGCAGAAGCTCTATCAATGACAAGCAAGAACAGAACTGCAGCCGTGTTATTACAATTGTCTTCTTGGCACTCTTCATTGACTTGTTGGGATTTGCTCTCATCTTGCCACTGTTTCCTTCCATCCTTGATTATTACAGCCAGACTGAGGTAAGCAACAGAGAAAGTCAGCCTGCTTGTGTTAGGTATGACCAAATAGCTGTAGGCAGAATAATAATATCCAGCACATTTAAATGGTTTGTGGACTGAATTTGTTTGTGAACCTGCATGAGACTCTTCGTTCTTGCTTTTTTATTAAAATGAGGGATTTGTTTTAGGGGAAATTCAGGTATTTCTTAGGGTCTAGTCCTTGTAATTACCACTGCATTTGTGACTTATACTGATATCACTGGTGAGACAGACTAAACGACAGTCCATAATGGATCTGCGTACTGGGGTTTATCAAAGAACCAAAGAGACAAGAGCTTTTACCCTACTTGAGTATTTCACACACTCTCTTGCACCCACCCCCAGCATCACGGTCACTAGGTCTCAACTTTCATTCTTAGCAAGGAGGCGGCTACTGGTCTGGGAACGCAGGGCGGAAAGTTGTTTTGGTTCCCTGCTGCGCAGTTGCTCGCAGTTACCATTCTCAGGTATTACTGGACAAGATGAAGATGTTGTCAGGGGAGAATTATTTTTGCAGCCCACGCCTCTGTCTTGCAGCCCCTTTCTAACCCCACTCCAACTGCAGCTGTAGCCTTTGTCTTTCTTACAACCCTATGTCTAACCCTAACCATGGGCTCTGATCTCCAGGACCTTCCCCCACTTCCAATCTATCTCCTGTAGCCAAGATCTTCATCTTCTTTTCAGGGCGCCCTTCTTCTTTTCAAGTCCTCTTCCTCTTTTCAGGAACCATTCTTTTTCACACCACCTCTTCCTTCTGGACCTACAAGCCCCTCATTCTCCCAGTCTAAACAGTGTATGTGCAGAGGGATAGAGTGTGTCTCATGTTGCTTTATTAATTGAAGGATTCAGAACGTGCCAGTTTTGTTTAGTTCAGGTTTTAGCAAGTATCAGGCCTGATGGTTTAAAAAAGTTCAAATTCAGACATTCCCCCACCCAAACACATACACCCAATTATCTGCTGCTTGTTAGTATTCACAATTTAAGCTATTTTTAGCCTATGACAACTGATCACCCAGGACATTTTCCCGAGGAGGAGGAAAGGAATCAGTCATCTAACGTTACCTCTAGTTCACTAAGCTCTGATGCTGTCTTTGAAAATAAAACAGAGAAACTGTCTTCCTGCTTCTATTTCCCAGCTACCTCTTTTGCAGGATGGATTCTATTTGTCATTGCAACGTGGTGTGGACTGGTTTGCAGTGAAGGTTGGGATGCCTCCAGAGCGGAAATACAACAGTGTCTTGTTTGGAGGTACGGAAATTAAACAAACAAGTTAACAGACCCCTCCCAAAAAATACTGTGTTCTTTTCACATTATTTGCAGTGTCGATGTGAGGAACGATGAATGATGAGGAAAATGACAAGAAATACAAAAAGCATACTTGCCTGTTATTAGATTTAAATTTAAATAACACAGAAAATGTCTCTTATAGTAGGCTATAAATGGTTTTGTTTTCACCTCACTGGTAGCAATGAAGAGTTGGATGGCCCCATCTCTGTCATTCAGAGACATCTAGACAGGCAGGAGGAATAGGCCAACAGGAGCCTTCTGAAATTCAGTATGGACAAATGTGAAGTCCTGCCACTGCAAAGGAGTGACTGGTGGGGAGCAGCTCTGCTGTGAAGGCCCTGGGGGCCCTGGTGAGCAGCAAGCTGAGCAGGAGCCGGCCCCAGCAGCAAAAGCACCAACAGCACCTGGGCTGTATGAACAGAAGCAGAGCCAGTAGATTGAGGGAAGCAATTGTCCCCCTCTACTCAGCACTTTTTAGACCACATCTAGAGCATTGCATCCAGTTTTGGCCCCCCAGAAGACCTTCATAAACTGCAACGAGTTCAGCAGAGGGCCAGGAAGACAGAGGGTCTGGGGAGCCTGGGCTTGTTCAGCCTGGAGCTATTAGCACCCTTCCAGTACTTATGGGGAGGTTATCGAGAAGACAGTGAGGCATTTCGTTGTGGTACGTGGTGGGAGAAGGAGAGGCAACAGGCATAGGGAGAAGGAAGGGAGGTTCAGACTGGAAATAAGGAATAACTTTTTCACAATGAGGATGGCCAGTGGAACAGGTTGCCCAGAGACGTTTTGTAGTCTCCACCTTCAGAGGCTGTCAAACCCTGACTGGTTGAAACCCTGAGCAATCTGGTCTGACCTCGTAGGTGACCCTGTGAGCTAGCGGTTGGAGGAGATGACTTCCAGAGGTCCCTTTTAACCTGAATTGTCCTATGATCTTGCCCAATTTGTTCTACAGATTGCTACAGAAATACAGGCCTGTTGTTCCTTATTGTCAGACTGCCAGCTGGGGGTCAGGACCCTGCTGTGCTAGACCCTGCACAGTCACAGAAATTACTCTCCCTTCACAACTGAGCCACACGTGATTGGAGATCAATCAGTAAGCAACACTGGCATTAGAAGCTTGTGAGTTCAACTCTCACCTCCCTGCTGGGCAGCTATAGTGCAACGCTGCTTCTAAATCTCATTAGTCCTATTAAAAGCAGGAGAGCTGCTGACTTGCAGGGTCCAGAAGCATTTGCTGTCACTAGGACACTGGTGTGGGTGAGCTCCAGTGGGAGTGGTGCAGGAAATCCAGCAGCATATATGTCATGTTACGCATCGGAGGCTCTTTTGGCTCCTTGTGATCTAGGGAGTTGTGAGGAAACTGGTATTTCAGAGTATGAAGATGTGAGGGTGTCTGGGTTAATTTTAATTGGAAATGTCTAGACCCTCTCCTTATAGTGAGCTGAGGCCTCCCGCAAGATAAGCAAAAGGCTTTTAAACTGAAAAAAAAAAAGCAAACTTTATTAGAATATAAGTGTAAATGTATTGTTACTATTTAAAGTAGGGTTTTTTTTTAGTTTAACAGACATTAGAAAGCTTATAAACAATTTTCCTCTTTCCCACAGTGTCCTTGCAGGCATGTTTTTGTTTCTGTGCTCACTTTCAGTCAGATTACTGGCTCTGAATGGTAGGAAACAGTTTTCTTTAATCCCTCAGAAACTGCTTTTTGTCTCCTCTAAGGCCTGACTGCATGCCGCCTCCTTGTTCCTTCTCTCCATCTCAGACTCTGTTTAAACAAGGGGCTGGGAGCTCACAGTCATGTCTAACTTGTTGCCTTTCCTTTTACCTGCTGTGTCTTGTACTCCTGGGAGTGCTGTATGCCTTGACTTGGCTCAGTTGCTTTTGAGGGGAAGGAGAAATCTCCCTGCTTCTTCCAGAGGAGTCCAACTGACTCTTTTGCCCTTTGAAGAAAATAGATCATCTAACTGTGAACATGCAAATAAAATGGACGCTGTTTATCTCAGAAAGGAAGCTGGTATCCCTTGCTGTTTTCTCTCTAGGAGAAAAGTATTGAGGGAAAAGTATTTAGAAGCAGTATTGAGTAGTGATGGGAATGTTCGCGAATTACCTGGCAGCCACAGGCAGTGAGGGTGCAGACAAGGTGGCTGAATTAACCTGATATCTGTCACATTTGACTCCATCTCTTCTGCAGTCTTTGATGACAGCTTTTCTTAATGAGCCATCTAATTTGCTAAACCAGCAGAAAACTTTTTTTTTTTTCCCCTTTTTTTTCTGGATTAGTTTTCTGCCAGATTGAGTTGAATTAGCTGGAGAGTTGACCAAGGCTGCAGAAGCAGGGGAAGATGGACAAGCGGTCTTACTTGTAGTCAGTTCCTGTCTCAGTCGCTCTTGTCTCACTGCACCTTAAATGGTTATAGTGGAAAGGTTCATTATACTTGTGATGTTAAGCAGAGGACACTGCAGTTTTCCTGCGGCCTGCATTCCTTTATTGCCTTCATCTGCAACAAGGAGCATAGGATTGGAAAGATACTTGCAAGATCATCTTGTTGCTTCTCCCAGTGCAGGATATATTCTGCTCTCTTTCATCTTTGCTTAGACTGCAGCCTCCTCAGGGCAGAAACCTTCCCTGCCCTTGCCAAGGCCCTGAGGGCACCAATACCTAGTTGTGGTGACCAGCCTTCACCCACGTGCTTTCTGCCCAGTGATTCAGGAGCTGTATTTCAGCTTGGTCCTGGGCCTTGCCTGAGCTATATCGTAGGTATAGCCTTGTCTCTAGGGCTGTCTCTGGCCCTGTCTCTTGGGTGGATCTTGGACCTACATTGCAGGTGTCTTATCTTCTGAGTGGACCTACATTGTAGTCTTGTTTCCACTCTTTTCTTTGACCCTGTCTCCTGGACTCCCTGGATGGACCTGATGTATAACCTTTGCCTTGTCTGGGACTGTCAATGAACCCTGCTAGCGGCACTCTGCTCTTCCTGACCCATCCGGATCGTGTGGGACTGCACCCTGGTTGGTGAGGACACTACCAGTGTTGTGGTCACCCTCAGCTCCTGGCGTATTCCCCTGTGTGGAACAGCCCCACTTTTGCTACTCCCTGGCTATGAAGTGTTTGGCATGTCTGGGTGTTTTTACAGTGCTAGAAATACAGGGAGGAAAACTTGTCTCTCATTACACTGCCAGTGTACCAGTCTATAAGATTGTGGCCAGCAGGTTGAGGGAGGTGATTCTGCCCCTCTACTCTGCTCTGGTGAGACCCCACCTGCAGTACTGCATCCAGCTCTGGAGCCCTCAGCACAGGAAGGACGTGGACCTGTTGGAATGTATCCAGAGGAGGGACACAAAAATGATCAGAGGGCTGGAACACCTCTGCTGTGAGGAAAGGCTGAGAGTTGGGGTTGTTCAGCCTGGAGAAGAGAAGGCTCTGGGGAGACCTTATTGCGGCCTTTCAATACTTAAAGGGGGCCTATAAGAAAGATGGGGACAGACTTACTGGGGCCTGTTGCAACAGGACAAGGGGTAATGGTTTTAAATTAAAAGAGGGTAGGTTTAGACTAGATATAAGGAAGACATTTTTTACAGTGAGGGTGGTGAAACACTGGCACAGGTTGCCCAGAGAGGCGGTAGATGCCCCATCCCTGGAAACACTTGAGGTCAGGTTGGACGGGGCTCTGAGCAACCTGATGTAGTTGAAGATGTCCCTGCCCATTGCAGGGGGGTGGGACTAGATGACCTTTAAAGGTCTCTTCCAACCCAAACTATGATTCTATGATTCTATATTTTTTTTGGTACAGTTTTTGGGGCTTTTGAGCTATCATAAGCAGCTGTTCTCCCCAAGGTGTTCAGTATCAATACTTTGCCTCCCTCAAAGTTGATGGGAGCAGAACTTCTGGTCTCTCTCTCCTCTGCCTTTTAAAGCTTTGATAGCTGAATGATCTGAGACGTATAACCCCGTTTTTCCTTTAGAGAAAAACTGTGACAGCAAGGCATTTTTTGCCTGCTTGTTGAGAGTGTAGTGCAAATTAATAAGTGTGTGAAGCTAGAAATGGCAAGAGAAAAGAGGAATTAAAGATCACAGAAGCTGGAGGCAGATTTCAAAAGGCTCTTGGAGTCTGTTGGAATCACTCCTACCTCTTAGGGTGCCTCACTAACAGCAGTGCTTATGTCCTTCTTTACATGATAAGAAGGAAAGAAAAGCTAATTAAATGTGACAGAATCAGGTTCAAACAATCAAAAAAGTCTTAAAAGAACTGTGACTATTAAAGCTGCGTTATCTCTGCTTTAATAACAGAAAATTTATGTCGTCAGTTGGGGAAGCATTGGAGAGTCGGCATT